TTCTGCAAGACCTTTTTGGCACAGACAATGCATCATTTGTCAATATCAGTATTGTCTGAAAAAGAAAAAGCATTATCGGAAAAGCATTCATCTTAATTACTGAAATTCTACCTAACAATAACAATTGTAACTTGTCCCATCTCATTAAGTCTTTTTTAATATCATTCCAAACTTTAACATAATTATTCTGGTATAACATACAATTCGTATTAGTCAGTGTAGCCCCTAGATATTTAACCTCAATTTTAAAACCAGACTTCTTCATCAACGTTTCTTGATCATTCAGTCCCATTTTGAGGTTCCTATAAAATCAAAACTAAATCATCCGCAAAAGCTCTTAATTTATAAACCTCTTTTTTGATTTGCAAGTCCTTTATATTCACATCTTGTCTAATATCTCTATTTAACACTTCCAGAATTAAAATGGAAAGTAAAGGGGACAAAGGACAACCTTGTCTTGTCCCTTTCTGTATCTCACGAGGTTTTGTTAACTCATCATTAACAATAATACTTGCCTTTTGGGAAGTGTATATTGATTTAATCTCTTGAAGAAAATTCTTGTCAAAGTCCATATCTTCCAAGACTTTAAACAGAAATATCCAATTTAAATTGTCAAAGGCTTTCTCCGCATCCAAGAAAATCCACGCTGCTTGCTTCTCATTGTGTTGTTGTAAATATTCTACTATATCCAATACAATTCTTACATTGTCTCTCAATTTCCTTTTTAGGTAAGACACCACATTGATCTTCATGTGTAAAGCCCAATAAAAGCATCTTCAATCTCTGCTAATATTGATGTAAAGAGTTTATGGTCATTATTTAGCAAAGAAATCAGTCTGTAATTCTTAGTTATAGTTGGGTCTTGACCTTCTTTTGGCAATAATGCTATATTAGCTTCTTTCCAAGTCTCTGGCATTGCTGAGCCCCCTAAAATCACTTCATCACTCACTTGAGTGGCAATAACAATTCATCTTCAAAACATTTGTAAAGAACTTGTCAACCCACTTGGTCCAGGGGCTTTCCCTGTTTTGGCCTTTTTAACAGCTTCTGATATTTCAAAATAGTCATACTTTGTTTCTGAAATTGTGAGAGGTTGAGTAGATTCTTTTTCTTTAAACATTCATTAGTTTGTTCCAATGAAACCCCTTGTCTTTTATACAAGTTTGAAAAAAAGTTATGGAAGGATTTCTGAATACTTGCACTAACTGTGAGGGTAACATTTTGTTCTTGAGTTTTCATTATTATTTTCTTGTCTCTCTCCTTTCTCAGTTTATCTGCAAGTCATCTCCCTGGTTTATTTGAAAATTCAAAATATTTTTGTTTTGTAAATTTTAATTTACTTAGATAATTGCTGTCGCAGAAGTTAACTTAATGCAAGATAGCAGAGTCTGTTGGTGCATTTTGTAGATCCTCTTCTTTTTTCTTTATTTCCTCTAAAATAGCTTGAATTTTTTCTTGATTCTTTCTTTTAAGTGCACAAATGTATTGAATGAAGTAACCTCTCATCACTGCTTTACTAGCATCCCAGACAGTTTTTAAATCTGTTCCTTTATCCAAACTGTTATCAAAATATTCATTTAACTTCTTTTTACATTAGTTCACCACCAGTTCTTTTTGTAATAATGATCCATTTAATCTCCACCTAAATGTTGTAGATTTCCTCTTGAGTATCAATGTAACTGGATTATGGTCAGAGAAGATTTTTGGTAAAATGTCCACTCTTACTAATCCTATTTGCCAAAATCTTTGAAATCTATATCATATCAATTCTAGAAAAAGATTTATGTCTCTCTGGGAAGAAGGGATATTCCCTACCATTTCCATTTTTCTGTCTCCAGGAATCAGAGTCAGATTTTCAATCAAATCGAAAAAGGACTTGGGCAGTTTCCCTTGATTAAGTTTAATTTCTTTTCCAGAAGTTTTATCCATTTGAGGCAAGGTTACTCCATTCCAATCTCTCATCAAGCACTAATTTTCATATGTAAAAGATGTCAATTGATCTATAAGACGTTTTAAAAATTTCCTTTATTTTCATTAGGAACATACAACCCAACAATTATGGATTTAACTCCTTGCATCTCAATCTCCACTGCAACATCTGCAAAATCTACCATTTTCATCTGTTAGTAAAAGCTGTGGTTTCAAATGTGATTTAATATATAAAGCAACTCCATTACTTTTTTTTTCATTTGCAGATATAAATTCTTCACCCAAAGTTTTATAAATCAAATATTTTCATCTTTTTTCTAATATGTGTAATTTTCTTCTTTTCTGTGGGAGATTTGCCCCATTAATTTTCCCAGTTAAATATTTGTAATCCATAGTTAAGGAAACAATTTGTCAAAGTCTTCAGCTGTAGCACCCATCCCGGCAGTCTGTGCACCAGCCTCTTCTTCTAACTGTTGCTCTCCCTGTAAGCCCATTTCCGTTGATTCCTGT